GAGTGTGCAAGAATCAAATTTGGTTTTACAGTTACTTGCCACTAATAAACCCCATTATTTTTATTACTTAATTAGCTATTATTGGATTATTTTTTTTCTATTTTTTAATTATTAATTTCAAATTTATCAAAAGATAACTAATCAAGTAATAAGAATAATAAGTTAGTATAACGGTCCCATAAAACATTAGTACTATTTGGAAATTTTCTCATTATTTTTCAGCTTATGGTTTCTTGCCAACTTCGTAGAATGTTAAAATTCAGAACGTCAGAATTGATCGTTGTCACCATTTTTATTCGGCCAACTCCCTTTTTTTCTGTATCCCGCATGTCACGTGTCCAGTGGCGGACCTAGAATTTTTTTTTTATGTCTGCATATTTAGAGCGAGGGCAGCGCTCTCGAATTGTTTTTTTAAAGATTATAATCATGATTCAATTTTTACTTTCACTTCAAAAATAAAGCTTTGATGAATCAACCAAAATTTTAAATAAATAATCGATAATGATAATTAAAAAAATCACAAAAAGACATTTATAAAATATAGTATAATTGGAGGGGTTAAACGATAAAAAATTCACCTCTTCCGATGTCTATTTGATCCAAAACTGGACCACTTTTGCTTAAAAAAAAACATGAAAAATCACGTGTGATTCTCCTCCACTAGATGAAGATTGAATTTTAGAAATTGTTGATGTCTATTAAGATTTGGAGCTAATAAGGTATATGTTTAAATAAAAAAATAGACAAAACAATGAGCTAGGATTTAAGCTTTTAATTATAAGGGTTGGTTGGATTGGACCTATCTTTATCTTTCTTTTTTTTTTACTTGATCTAAATTACCTACATTATAAAAAAAAAAAAAAAATTCTCAAGTTTGTGTCCGCAAATGCAGACAGGGGCATCCAAGTGAGTCCGCCGTTGCACGTACTCACGCGTGTCCCCAGAGTGTGGATTTTCCAAAACATGTTAATTAGTAAATTTTAATTTCTACATACATATATCAAACTAAAACAATAGGCGGCAAATGATTGAATATCGAACAAGGAAAAATAGTCTCACTGTACCTATTGATCATTGTATAATGTACTAGCTAGCTATTTTACAACGTACTGGCTTTTGCTACCATACATTTTGCATGTTGGAAGAGAATGCATGTATATTAGTTTCATTGTACCAATTGACCATTGTACAATATAGCTATTTTACAATGTACTGACTTTTGCTGCCATACATTTTGCATGTATAAACAATAGTGTTGGGCAAGTGGCTTCTTACACAGTACGCTTACGGAACACCTAGAGGGGAGGTGAATAAGTGTTCTAAACTTTTTCAAAATCGTTTTGAATTCAGTAAACAATTACACAATTTTTCTTCATTCCCTATATGCCCAAAATAATTTTTCGCAATGCTAAGAACAATGTAGTAATAGAAAACGTACCTTAGCAACTTATAGAGTATAAACGCAGCAATTATAATAGAATTAGTGTAACTGTCAGTCTCTAAACAAAATATTCAGAAATTAAATCAGAGAGACAATGGACGCACGATATATCCTGGTTCACACCCACTAAGCCTAAGTAGGGTGCTACGTCCAGACTGAAGTAGCTGCATATATTTTATTTATCACAAGTGTACCAGTTTTACAAACACCCGTCACACAGGCAATCAAACAAAATATCAAAGATCTTCCTAGTGCCTACACTGCTCCAAGCTCTGAGAATACTCTCAAGCCGAACATAAGGAGTTCACCAACTCCTCTCACACAAGACCTCCACTCTCCCTAGTGGATTCTTGAGGCTCCAAGCCTTGAGACACACTCTCAAGCCAAGCACAAGGTCGCCAACCCACACGGTTGCACCCACACACCTAGGACAGATTTACAGCACGCAACTACTCCACTTTAACAATCAATACAGAATTTTCAGAATTGTAACAAGTGAAATAAACCAAAATTACAGTGTCCTATCACACCAAATATATCACAGTAATATCAAACTAAGCTCCACAAATTTATGCCATATGCAGAAAATTAATCCAATGACATATGTATTAAAATCTCTAAAATTTATACTAATAAACAACTCAAGAATTTAATATTCAGATTAAACAACTCAAAATCCCTAAAGCATATGAAATAACAGATCTGAAAATTTCAGATAAAATGCTTCAAACAAAGATTCACAAAGGATTTGAGTTGATTAAAAAATACCACAATGAAGCCCCAAATATTTCAGTCAAAGAACCTAGAAATTTTTCTCCAAAAAGATATGCAGCTGCCACAAGGAAATAAGGAACGAAATCTTTCTCCAAGAAGATATGAAAACCGAGAGGTGAGAAACAGAGTAGAATCAGCGCTCCTTTCTTTAATTTTCTCAGAAGATGGAAACTCAAGAAGTTGTTAAACACAAAGGAAATTGAACTGTTGAAAATCAGCGCAAATAGGACGAAACGAACTTCTACAGAACGAATATCAATATCACAGTGCAAATCTCGTGGCTTTTCTTTTTGATTGGTAAAGTGTATTGGTAAATTGAACTGTTGAATATCGAACAAGAAAAAATAGTGTCACTGTACCTATTGATCATTGTACAATGTACTAGCTAGCTATTTTACAACGTACTGGCTTTTGCTACCATACATTTTGCATGTTGGAAGAGAATGCATGTATATTAGTTTCATTGTACCAATTGACCATTGTACAATATAGCTATTTTACAATGTACTGACTTTTGCTGCCATACATTTTGCATGTATAAACAATAGTTTTAATATATAATTCCGGTTGATGCATATTTTGCACATAAGACAATAAGTGCTTTTATGTATAGCATAATTTTATATTAAACTTAAATTAATTATTAATTTTAATATATATAATTTATTTATTTGTATGGCTCCTCTCACAAAATTATTTCAATCCAGGCAGTTATTTGTGGTTCTAAATTTTTATGCAAGAACCAACTTAAGAATTCGATTATTTCTTTTCTAGTGCTTCTTTCATGCATGTAACTATTATTTTATTTTATTTTTTGATTTTTTAAGGGTGTCCCTATCCATTTGAACGAGAGTAATCCTTTCGTGGGATAGAATATGAAGAATTTTGCCACTTGTTAAAGAATCACTTCAACCCAAAACTTTAAGGTATTGGTTGAGGGTCTTTTTAACGATTTATATTATATTTTCTAATACATCTCTTTACGCAAGAGTCCTTTGGGCTTGAAGCGTGGATATGTCACAAATTTATTATTGGTCTGTCTTGTACTGTACAAGTCTATTTTCTAAGTCTGCCTTGTGTTTTTTTTAATCTCTGATACCATGTCAAAGAACCACTTCAATCCAAAATCTTAAGATATTTGGTGAAAGTCTTTTTAGTTTTTAAGGGTTTATACTATTCTCTAACACGTTATTTTACTCCAAGTTATTTCGTATAGGAATCGATCAGATACCTTAAACTCTAACAGTTTATTGTGTGGGTACATTGAAGGGGTATTACTTAAAAGAAAGAGAGAAGAAAAAGAGATGGAAGAGATTAGAGAATTTTTAAGGGAGAAGAATTGCGATCAAACAATCGATGCCTTTGTATTGATCTTTTTCAGGGTTTTATAGCAAAATAAATTACAACCTAATGGCTTAAGGATTGCCAGCTAATGATTGACTGAAGATAAGGATGATTAATCCTATCGACAACTAATAAACTACTAATTGCTAATGACTGATTGAAGATAAGGATGATTAATCTTATCGACAACTAATAAACTACTAATTGCTAATAAGGATGATTAATCCTATCGACAACTAATAAACTACTAATTACATGTAATTATTAAATAAAAATAAAAGACTCCTAGCTAATAAAGCACTAAACATAATCTTTGAGGTGGGCTGGTGGCTTTGTCATTCGTTTGGGCCTCCCATTATCAGGGTCCGCTACACTCTCTTGCCCATCAGAAAAGAGCTTGTCCTCAAGCTTAAAGTCATGTGGCGTGGGCCTCTCAATGGGCTTGGAACCGCCGGTCCAGATTCGTCCATCAGCAACGTGATCAACGGTAGACGTTGCCGCCTGGGTATGTGATGCAAACGAATGACAAAGCCACCAACCCACCTCAAAGATTATGTTTAGTGCTTTATTAGCTATGAGTCTTTTATTTTTATTTAATAATTACATGCAATTAGTAGTTTATTAGTTGTCGATAGGATTAATCATCCTTATTAGCAATTAGTAGTTTATTAGTTGTCGATAGGATTAATCATCCTTATCTTCAATCAGTCATTAGCAATTAGTAGTTTATTAGTTGTCGATAGGATTAATCATCCTTATCTTCAATCAGTCATTAGCTGGCAATCCTTAAGCCATTAGGTTGTAATTTATTTTGCTATAAAACCCTGAAAAAGATCAATACAAAGGCATCGAATGTTTGATCGCAATTCTTCTCCCTTAAAAATTCTCTCATCTCTTCCATCTCTTATTCTTCTCTCTTTCTTTTAAGTAATACCCCTTCATTGGGGCTTTCATCTGATCTCCCTCCCAAATGGCAGAGAACACACGCATGCGTGAAATGAATCAGCGCGTGGAAACGCTGGAACAACAACTCCAGGCAGCAGAAATCGTACGTGAACAACAACAATTGGCATTATAGGACTCGCAAGCACAACTGCTGCAATCGCAAACCCAACAGAATCAACAATTTGCTATACTCAGACAGGACATCAATCGGATTCTCGAAAATCAGTCAAACGAATCTGGAATCCTCGGATCAGGTCCCTACAAACCTCCGCCCATCTCAGGCATTAACCGCACATAACCAACGCAAATTACTTTTCCGAGGTTTGCAGACGGAGATCCAACTGATTGGATTTTTCATGCCAATCGATATTTTGAATTCTATCAAATACCCGAAGCGGAACGTGTGCTAATTGCATCTTTCAACCTCGACAAACCAGCAAATACTAGGTTCCAAGGACTTTTTAATGATGGGTTAATTCTTAATTGGGCCGCATTCATGGTGGCGGCGCAAAGGCGATTTGGACCATCGGAGTTCGAAGATCCGGCAGTATGTCTTGCCAACCTTCAACAACAAACCACAGTTAGCGAGTTCCAGGCTAGTTTTGAAGTCATAGCCAACACAGTACCAGGCCTTTCTTTTACACTAAAAAGAGCACTCTTTATGGCCGGTCTAAAACCGAACATTAGGAGACAAGTCCTAATTCAACGACCTCAAGATGTCCATGCTGCTTTCTCACTGGCAAAAATATATGAAGACCAGCACACAGACTCCAATACCGGGTACAAAGCTCACGGACAGACGACACCACACCCACCATTCACACAAAATCCATCAGTCAGTCAATCAAACTCCACCAAATATCCATCCACAACATCCCCACTTCCTATTAAGCGACTCTCACCAGAAGAAATACAACGTAAACGAGAAAAAGGGCTTTGCTACAGTTGTGATGAAAAATATGTGTTTGGCCATAGATGCAAAGGGAAAGCCACCTTGCTATATTTTGACGGCACAGAAGATGATCCACCTCCGTCCGAAAGTGAGGAACAAACAGAATCTCCAATTACAGATAATGTTTCTAATTCATTTTCTGAGATAAGTTTGAACGCCTTATTGGGCCACCATTCGCCACGATCTTTTCGTTTAACGGGAACGATATTTGGGACACAAGTTCAGGTTTTAATCGACGGCGGAAGCACTCATAATTTTATCACGCATAAAATGGCTACGTATTTGGGACTGGTTTTGCAGACTTTAGAGACGTTTACTGTGCAGGTAGGCAATGGTGAGGGACTTCAATGTCAGGCATATTGCAAGGAAGTACCCCTAGTGATGCAGTCTCACACATTTTCAGTGGATTTATACTCTTTGGAGTTGAAAGGTGCAGATATTGTCCTAGGAGTTCAATGGCTCAGTACCTTAGGACCCATTCTTACTGATTATAGCCAAGTACTAATGACCTTTGACCACCAAGGTAACAATATTCAACTTCACGGACACCGTCCTGACAACCCAATACTTATATCTTCTGCAAAGTTGAATAAACTTATGGTCACAGATGCATACACTTCATGCCTCATGTGTTTCAACTGTCCTCACTCTTCAACACCTACTTCCCCTCAAACACATGACACAGAACCCCACCATACTGTACCTGACATTCAAAACTTACTCTCCAACTACAATGATGTGTTTACCATTCCCAATACCTTACCACCACACCGACCACATAACCACCACATCAATTTACTCCCTAACACACAGCCTGTCCAAGTTAGACCCTACCGTTACCCACATTTCCAAAAGAGCGAAATTGAAAAATTATGTCAAGAAATGCTCTCAACAGGAATCATTCGCCCTAGCCAGTCCCCATTCAGCTCTCTTGTCCTATTGGTGAAAAACAAAGACGGTACTTGGCGATTTTATGTAGATTACAGAGCCTTAAATGCAATCACGGTCAGAGATCAATTTCCTATACCGACCGTAGACGAATTGTTGGACGAACTCCACGGGGCCACAATATTCTCCAAACTTGATCTACGATCTGGTTACCACCAAATTCGCATGCACTCAGAAGATATTCATAAGACAGCATTCCTAACAAACCACGGCCACTTTGAATTTATGGTTCTACCATTTGGGTTGTCAAATACTCCCTCTACTTTTCATGCAACAATGAATGATGTGTTCGCACCACTCCTCCGACGTTTTGTAGTCATATTCTTTGATGACATCTTAGTTTTCAGCTCAACATTACAAACACACGTCACACATTTATCTCAAGTCCTGGACATATTGAGGAAACAACAATTGTATGCGAAACTTTCAAAGTGCTCATTTGCTACATCATCTATTCAATTCTTAGGACACATTGTGTCTAGTGATGGTGTCGTACCTGACCCGGATAAAGTCATAGCAGTTTCAGAATGGCCTACTCCAACTACGGTCACTCAAATTCGAGCATTCCTAGGGCTTTCAGGATACTATCAGAAATTTATTAAAGGGTATGCACAAACAGCTTTTCCAATCAGTGATCTCCTGACAAAAGGCAAATTCCATTGGACAGAAGAAGCTAACACGACATTTATGGAATTAAAGACGTGCCTTACTGAAGCACCGATTCTCACTCTTCCTGACTTTCAAAAACAATTTATAATTGAGACAGATTCATCAGGTACGGGTATAGGAGCTGTGTTGCTACAAGATAGAAAAACACTAGCGTATTTCAGTAAGAAACTCTTCCCACGCATGCAAACTCAATCAACTTATATCAGGGAGATGTATGCTATTACGTCGGCAGTAGGCAAATGGCGTCAATACCTCTTAGGATCCAGCTTTGTCATACGAACGGACCATGACTCAAGAGCAAAGGAAAGGGCTCAGAACGGGGAGCTCCATGGGGAGAAGACAACAATCAACGACAAAGACGGAAGGAGGAATGAGGTAGTAAGCAACGATTCTTTCCAAATTCCACAGGGAATTAATGCCCCCAACAACTCAGCTGCAACATGCATCAAGGCATCCACCCACTCAGCTGCACAAAGTCAGTCACGCACACTACTCAAGGAGTCACATGGGGAAGACGTCTTTAGGGATGAGGCTGATCCTTTAGGAGCCAATCATTTTCCCATCAAAGGATTTCGGACCAACGCCATAACGCCACCTCAACCTGATCCATCACATACCCAGGCGGCAACGTCTACCGTTGATCACGTTGCTGATGGACGAATCTGGACCGGCGGTTCCAAGCCCATTGAGAGGCCCACGCCACATGACTTTAAGCTTGAGGACAAGCTCTTTTCTGATGGGCAAGAGAGTGTAGCGGACCCTGATAATGGGAGGCCCAAACGAATGACAAAGCCACCAGCCCACCTCAAAGATTGTTTAGTGCTTTATTAGCTAGGAGTCTTTTATTTTTATTTAATAATTACATGCAATTAGTAGTTTATTAGTTGTCGATAGGATTAATCTTCCTTATTAGCAATTAGTAGTTTATTAGTTGTCGATAGGATTAATCATCCTTATCTTCAATCAGTCATTAGCAATTAGTAGTTTATTAGTTGTCGATAGGATTAATCATCCTTATCTTCAATCAGTCATTAGCTGGCAATCCTTAAGCCATTAGGTTGTAATTTATTTTGCTATAAAACCCTGAAAAAGATCAATACAAAGGCATCGAATGTTTGATCGCAATTTTTCTCCCTTAAAAATTCTCTCATCTCTTCCATCTCTTATTCTTCTCTCTTTCTTTTAAGTAATACCCCTTCATTAACGGTAGGGTCTAACTTGGACAGGCTGTGTGTTAGGGAGTAAATTGATGTGGTGGTTATATGGTCAGTGTGGTGGTAAGGTATTGGGAATGGTAAACACATCATTGTAGTTGGAGAGTAAGTTTTGAATGTCAGGTACAGTATGGTGGGGTTCTGTGTCATGTGTTTGAGGGGAAGTAGGTGTTGAAGAGTGAGGACGGTTGAAACACATGAGGCATGAAGTGTATGCATCCGTGACCATAAGTTTATTCAACTTTGCAGAAGATATAAGTATTGGGTTGTCAGGACGGTGTCCGTGAAGTTGAATATTGTGACCTTGGTGGTCAAAGGTCATTAGTAATTGGCTATAGTCAGTAAAAATGGGTCCTAAGGTACTGATCCATTGAACTCCTAGGACAATATCTGCACCTTTCAACTCCAAAGCGTATAAATCCACTGAAAATGTGTGAGACTGCATCATTAGGGGTACTTCCTTGCAATATGCCTGACATTGAAGTCCCTCACCATTGCCTACCTGCACAGTAAACGTCTCTGAAGTCTGCAAAACCAGTCCCAAATAAGTAGCCATTTTATGCGTGATAAAATTATGAGTGCTTCCGCCGTCGATTAAAACCTGAACTTGTGTCCCAAATATCGTTCCCGTTAAACGAAAAGATCGTGGCGAATGGTGGCCCAATAAGGCGTTCAAACTTATCTCAGAAAATGAATTAGAAACATTATCTGTAATTGGAGATTCTGTTTGTTCCTCACTTTCGAACGGAGGTGGATCATCTTCTGTGCCGTCAAAATATAGCAAGGTGGCTTTCCCTTTGCATCTATGGCCAAACACATATTTTTCATCACAACTGTAGCAAAGCCCTTTTTCTCGTTTACGTTGTATTTCTTCTAATGAGATTCGCTTAATAGGAAGTGCGGATGTTGTGGATGGATATTTGGTGGAGTTTGATTGACTGACTGATGGATTTTGTGTGAATGGTGGGTGTGGTGTCCACTGCTCGTGAGCTTTGTACCCGGTATTGGAGTCTGTGCGCTGGTCTTCATATATTTTTGCCAGTGAGAAAGCACATGGACATCTTGAGGTCGTTGAATTAGGACTTGTCTCCTAATGTTCGGTTTTAGACCGGCCATAAAGAGTGCTCTTTTTAGTGTAAAAGAAAGGCCTGGTACTCTGCTGGCTATGACTTCAAAACTAGCCTGGAACTCGCTAACTGTGGTTTGTTGTTGAAGGTTGGCAAGACATACTGCCGGATCTTCGAACTCCGATGGTCCAAATCACCTTTGCGCCGCCACCATGAATGCGGCCCAATTGGGAATTAACCCATCATTAAAAAGTCCTTGGAACCAAGTATTTGCTGGTTTGTCGAGGTTGAAAGATGCAATTAGCACACGTTCCGCCTCGGGTATTTGATAGAATTCAAAATATCGATTAGCATGAAAAATCCAATCAGTTGGATCTCCGTCTGCAAACCTCGGAAAAGTAATTTTCGTTGGTTGTGTGCGGTTAATGCCTGAGATGGGCGGAGGTTTGTAGGGACCTGATCCGAGGATTCCAGATCCGTTTGACTGATTTTCGAGAGTCCGATTGATGTCCTGTCTGAGTATAGCAAATTGTTGATTCTGTTGGGTTTGTGATTGCAGCAGTTGTGCTTGCGAGTCCTGTAATGCCAATTGTTGTTGTTCACGTACGATTTCTGCTGCCTGGAGTTGTTGTTCCAGCGTTTCCACGCGCTGATTCATTTCACGCATGCGTGTGTTCTCTGCCATTTGGGAGGGAGATCAGATGAAAGCACCAATGAAGGGGTATTACTTAAAAGAAAGAGAGAAGAATAAGAGATGGAAGAGATGAGAGAATTTTTAAGGGAGAAGAATTGCGATCAAACATTCGATGCCTTTGTATTGATCTTTTTCAGGGTTTTATAGCAAAATAAATTACAACCTAATGGCTTAAGGATTGCCAGCTAATGACTGATTGAAGATAAGGATGATTAATCCTATCGACAACTAATAAACTACTAATTGCTAATGACTGATTGAAGATAAGGATGATTAATCCTATCGACAACTAATAAACTACTAATTGCTAATAAGGAAGATTAATCCTATCGACAACTAATAAACTACTAATTGCATGTAATTATTAAATAAAAATAAAAGACTCCTAGCTAATAAAGCACTAAACATAATCTTTGAGGTGGGCTGGTAGCTTTGTCATTCGTTTGGGCCTCCCATTATCAGGGTCCGCTACATACATCCCACTTGCTAGCCAACTTTGCCACACTTTGGAGTTATTCTTTATTCTCGTTCAACGTCTCTTTCAGTACCTAATCCCTACAGGAAAATTGGAGTTATTATTTGTGGCTGATAACTGATAAGGATGGACGTGGCCCCAAAATAACAAAGAAGCTCTCACAAATTCGGTTCTATGCTTGCAAAAATTATAAAATAATAGTTCGTTTCTGTACTTGCAAAAAATACAAAACAATATATATATATAAATATATATATATATATATATATATATATATATATATATATAAACAAATATAGAAAAGTAAAAATAATTAAGTGGGATATGTCTAATAAGTGGATCTAATTAATTCATTCAAAATGCAATTGATGTTACCCCTTTCCGTGCTAAAATAAATATCATTTGTATATGAAAAATGGATTGGAAGTGTTGAAAAAGAAAACTTATCATTAGAAATTTACAAATGATTTTTTTTTACAAGTGCTGATAATATTTCCACCGTACAATGATTTTTTTTTCTTAGGCAAACATAAATGATTAGATGAAACAAAACCAGTAAAGACCAAACAAAGATAAATTAAAAACAGTAATCTACCAAAAAAATAAAATATAAAAACAGTAAAGACCAGAAAAATATGAGACCAAAATAGTAAATACATTTTTTCAAACAAAATAAAAAAGGAAATGTTATTAATAATTTTTTGTATTAAATTTTTAAATATTAGGAATATAACAATAATAAATTGGTATGCACATGCAAATTTGATTGGAAAATAAATATGTATATTTTATTTTTTTAGTACAAGAAATATGTATATTTAGTTGCTTTGTACTTATTAACCATTGTACCTTTTCACCATTGTTTTTATTGACCATTGACCATTGTACAACGTACTAACTTTTTCTCCCATCTAGTTTGCATGTATAAAGAACAAAGATTTTGTTTTTTTATATTTTTTTTAATCTTCTTAACTCCCATTTCATTATAAAAGTAAGTCCGGAGGTAGTGCTTATACCTGATCAATCTAATATTGTTTTCATAATCTTTCAAGTATGGGAAACTTTTTTGTTTGTATGGCTTCCAGCAGCTATAATAGTGATAATAGTGTCCATTCTTCAAGTGCTGAATTATTTCATCATATGAACAAGCATGGAGGCACATATAAATATTTCAAGTGTAAGATTGGATTTGATAATATATAATGGATTAAAATCCAATATATATGATCATATATAAAAATAAGATTATGATCAAATCCAATCTTACACTTGAAACATTTATATCGGCCTCCATGCTTGAAACCGAAGATGAAAGAATTCAGCACTTGAAGAATGGACACTGCACTAAAATATGAAAATATGAAGGTTCTGTATTTCAAAATATAACTTATCATACTTTTTTTTTATCTTAATAAAATGTTTCATTGCAACTCATATTTATATTTCAAATGATATATGTTTTTATTTCATTTATGTTTTTTTTATGCGTTTTCTACTTGTTATTAAAGGCTTCATCTTAATATAATAATAAATTTTACATTTTAAGTGGTTTGAATTTCCTCCAATACTAAGTATATTTCAAAGTTGAAGCATCCTAACAATATGTGGCCAAATTGTGGTAGCAGGTTTGAAGTATTTCGAACTAGAGACAACAACTTTGTCTACAAGTCTTCCTCAGGAAGTATGGAGTCAAGTTCCCCTAGTTATTGTTGATTACTTCTAGCTATCTTCTGTTATTTTTTTAAATTCAGCTGTGGTAGTATTTTATGATAATGTTATAATTTGTGTATTGGATATAAAAAATCTGAGTATTTTGCTAACAAATCAACAAGACTTCCACGTGATATCTCTATCCATTAAAACATAGGTAAGTTACTCTATCAAGAGTGTAAGACTCCCCCTATTAAAGATTTCTTCTGTTTCCTATGGTTGTTTCTATGCGACACTGCATGTCACACTAACGATTCAAGAGCCCAGATTGAATTCATCACCAATTTGATTCCAGGACATCAACTTTATCTTAAATGAAAGCGTTTTTAACTCTTAAAGGAGATAATTAAAACTTCTTCGTACTTAACTGATTCATTTATCAATCAACTAATGAATAATTCTACCAAAATTAATCATAGTTCATTCAGATTGATTGAAAAGTCAAATTATGATTATGATTGGATTCAAATTACAGGAAGATTTATGCCTGAATTGGTTACATCTGTCCATAATCTTAGGGGTGTAAATGGGCTAGGCTAGCCTACAGGGACCTACGACCTAATCTATATTAGGCCTGACTTAACTTATTACAAATAGTAAAATAGAACGGACATACACTTTAAACAAATCTATTTAGAAAACAGGCCATAGACTTTTTTGTACATGTCGAG